TAGTCTAACTCGACTCGACGACTGCTGCTGCTGTTGCTACCGTTGCTCAGGCCGCGAGGGCCATGCCTGGGCTTATTATTGTTCCCTTGCTGCACGAGGCTTTGTCATGGTGGTGCTTTGTCATGGTGGTGCCTGTGGGTGTGTTGATCACATGGTGTTCATTGTGTAGGAGGTGGTACGTCGTTGGCCGTTGGTGCATCAAATAGCATGGATCGGCTTTTGGGGGACTTCGGAAAAAGAAACCATACCGTATGGTGTTGCCAGTTGCGAGCTGTTAACTTCGAATATTTTACTTAGAGGTGGTTTCTCGCTCGGTTCCAACAAGAACTGGTCTCCACCGGCCGGGCTCGTTCTCGCTTAAGTGTCTTGAGCCGGGGGCTTCGTTCTTGCCTTCGGCTCGCCCTCGCCCGGCTCTCGCCACTTAAGCTCGCCCTCGCCCTATTAGCCGGAGGAGCCATGTTCTTGTATAGAAGACCAAAATGTTACCGGTATAAACGACAACCTAGTGACTCGGCAACTGATAAAGACGGTTAAAACAACGTTTAGAATGCCAACCGATATGATATACCTCCGGGCACCACAAAACCCTGCTAGGATCCACGGCCCCAGCACTTCCATGGTCCCATTACTGTCCTTTCTTCCAGACCAGCCCGTCATACAACTTGAAACCAAGTCAAACCCCGTTCATCCCAACTTCGCAACTTGTTTGATTCAACAATGACCATTCTTGCTGAGAGCCCCGCACGTTCTACACATGCCAAGTTAGACTCATCCTGGGAGACTGCGATTATGAGTGTTGGAGGAGACGATCAAACCAAAGTGGCATGGAGTATCACCTATATCGACCTCGATGGTAACGAAACTACCCAGTATTTCCAACGCCTTGAGGATACCCGTGTCTACAGCGAAACCATTAAGCTTGTTTGGGAACTCATCGACAAGGCCAATGGATGTGAGAAAACCACGAAGAACTTCTGTTACCAGGAAATCTTGACCTTGATGGAAGGGCAGGTCGCCACCTTTGGAGCAGGCTATCTCCTACATTATCTCAAGACAGCCATCAACGAAATCAAGGAGTATTTCGCTTAAGGTTAGAGATTTCACTCAACGACTCCAAATATTCCCAACCCTATGAACCAACCTCACCGGTATAAATGAAGAAAAAACTCTACTAACTAGTGAGACCTGCAAGAATTTATTGAATTAAGCGACACGATCTAGGCTCAAGTAACTAGTGATAACGCCTACCAAGTCAAATTGTCCGTCTCGTAAAAAGGTTAAATTTATTTCCACTACTGTGGACTAACTGGTGACTGGATTTAGTTCCTGAATGGCAAACCTTCAAAGGTCCTGTATACCCGACAACATAAGGAAAGATTTCGGTGACGTCACAACCGGGAGAGGTTTGATGACATTCATACGCCCCCTGAGTCGTCTCCGTTTCCATAAATCTTTTATTACCAACACCTAACTCGCTTTATTGAAACAGTATCCGCGCGCTCTGCGCGCTCATCCCTTTCAGCTTCGCCCCGAAACGGCTCACGATTTAACATCATATACCCTACCGGTACCACTCCCTTTCTCATACTTCATCCATGCGAAACTTGTGGGAAAAAGTGAGGCGAGTATCATGTGCATGTACATGCGTTGACTGTATCCCGTCAATACAATACTAGTCAAATACGTAGACTTCTACAGGGGCCTCTAAGTAATGCGCGCGGGGTATAATTCAAACCTCTGCCCCCAATAGTACCCTTACCCCTAAAAGCAAATCGTCTCCGGGAGACGAAATTCGAAGATGCTCTTCGGTGATCTTTGGTAGGATTCAAAATCCAAACACGGTCCGCACTGATCTGCCCGCACAGAACACATCCAGCATAGCTTCGCTTCGAGCATCCCATCTATTCTCATCCTCCATCCACAACCTCAACAACCATCAAACGAAGTCTCTATATTACTCCAGCCAGCTACCGGTAGCCACATAGCAAGCAAAGCCTAAAGAAAACAAAATACCAGGTACACAGAGATGACATTCACAGAACTTGGATCCTCCGACGAATTGATTGACTTTATCAACAATAATCCCGTGGCGATAGTGGTCGTGAGTGCCTCTTGGTGCGGGCCCTGCAAACGATCCAAGCCAGAAGTAATGACAATAGCAAAAGATTCCCCGGTTCCCTTTGGATACGTTCTCGAAGATGATATTGATTTGGATGAATTTGGAAACATCTTTCTGAAAAGTCCCATCTCCGCATTTCCAACCTACGTTTGCTTCAAGGATGCCGCCGAAGAGGACAGAATCAACGGAGTACAATTCCCCGAGCTCAAGGAAATGATTGCAAAATTTGCGCCAAAATAATAAACGAAAATATGCACCATAATAAAAAGACGTGTACCGGTAGTTGCACTGGGCTTGGTTGTACCGTAACGAAGGCAGTTATCATACACGAAACTGAGAAAGACATGCATAGAATTCATAGTACTGGCCTCGAATCATGGTGGTGTGAATTGTAATCTCAATTTGTACTGTATTATAAGTTTTGTCTTTTACGTTTAAACTTCTTCGTCGCACCCTCTCAGGTGTGGCCGGTGAACATACTTGATCGCGGGAAACACCCGGGCCTCCGCTCATGGGTCGTCCTCTTCTTGTCTGAATCCGTTTTAATTAACATCTTCGTTCAAATTTTTGCCTTTCACATTTAAACTCTTCACATACATACTTCATGTCATTGGCTGGTCTCTGGTCTCTGGTCCACGGCTGCTTTATTTAGTTGGCAGGAATGCAATTCACATAGTCAGCTGCCTGGGCCAAGCATTCATTGTCAAACTGGCAATGGAATTGACTTCCACATAGCACAGGCTTGTTTTCGCGGCTGCAGCGGTTTCTGCCTGGTACTCGACATTCTTCATAGACAGGGCTGCAATTCACCATATTACTTGCTTGAGCAAGGCAGGCATTGTCATAGGTGCATTCTCCACCAGCGCTGTTTGGGCAGGTGACCGGATTAATGTCACGAGGGCATTGGTTGTTACCTGGTAGAGGGCAAGCTGGTGCTGGTTTCTGACAGTATCGGATATTGAATCCAGCTGCAGTTGCCAAACAATCATTGTTATAGTGGCACCCATAGCTGGATCCACACTCAATGGGGTCCAAAAGTGCTGGGCAGATTGTGTTCGGCGGAACCTGGGGGCAGTTGTTGAGATTGCGAAGAGAGCCTGCATTCACTTGGCTGGTAGCAAAGGCAACAAGGAAAAAGATAGCAGAAGTCTTCATGATTTTAGTGTTTGGTTTTGTGGTTGTGAAAGTTGATCTTTGGATTTGTGAGTTAGTTTGTGAGTTTGTGAGACGATGAGATAGATGATACCGGTAGATGTCAACCATCATCTTTCCTTCGGCGTCGATTCTCTCGGAATGGTACCGTACGGGTTCTGTTCCAGTCCCATCTTACATTCGTGCTTCAAGATCTGTTAAACAAATATGCTGCATGCAAGTCCAGCTTCAAGTGCGAATTAAACCGCTATCAGCTGGAATCACTTTTTAATTAACTTGTATCGTAATAACTACATACCGGTACGGGAGGTGAAGTGCCGTATGGTACCGTAGGGACCAATACTGTACTGTAGTCCTGGCACGGGAAGAATTGTCAATCTCACGAGCCAGCTATTTGAATGTAGGTAACGACAACACGCACAGTCGTATTTGCCATTGTCCACATTCAATAGCTATTGTAGTTAGCTAGGCATCGGAAGCAGCACGCCGCCCAAAAATATCCAGACGCACATAGCGTTGATCGACCGCCCAGGGTTTGTCGGCATCGGCATACGGAAGCGGCTTGTGACGGTACGGGAGCGGAACCGTCACGACGTCTTTTTGTTTTTCCGCCGCTGGACTCCAGGGGACCAACCGTTGGGCTCCCAGTTGATCCGGTGAAAGAAGGACACCCAGTTCCCAATGTCGAATAAAGAGTCGTTTTTCCTTGTGTTTGGTCGAGTTTTGCACGTCCCCCCAAGCGGCCTTGGAAAGATTGTGGGATGTCAAGACGAACCATTCCATGGCACCACCGTCGGTATCATCGTTGTTGCTGCTCAACTGAAAGTACGTTTTGATATGAGGGACGTTGTTGCCCTTCCAGAGTGGATTGGTCGGTGCCTCGCTGTCCGCTCGCGTCAGGGCTAGAGACGACAAGAAGGACTTGGAGGCGGACCATTTGCGGTAAAAGGGTCTCAAAAAGTCTTTGGAGACATTCTTGAGTGTCCCTGGCACCGAGTTTCCACCTCGGTAGCCTTCCAACGAGTTGCAGATTTCGTCCGATGTGGGATAGACGAGTTGCAGATTGATGGGTTTTTGTTCGTCATCTTCGGAAGTATTCCCATCGTCAACGCCTTTGGCCCTGGCCACATTCATGGAATACGCCAATCGATGCAGATATTTGTTCGTCAGCGATCCCATGGACGAGAATTGACACACAATCGGTCCTATCGGCTGTTGCTTTTCTCCTTTTTGTTTCTCTTGTCGTATCCGTGCCAGTTGCTGTCGCACCTTCAGGTGTCCCAAAAGATTCTGATTGTTGTTGATTTTGTGATATCCCGGAATGGAAGGAACAAGAACGGCCAGTGCTGTCGAAAAGTCGTACTTTCGTAGTTGTTCTGCAATTGTGACTACCGCAGCATTGGTGTTGGAATCATCCCATCGGAATTTCTTGTTGTATTTGTAGGATTGAATGTATTGTACCAAGCTATCTTCAAAGTCTGTTGTGGTTGTGGTATTGTTTGGCGTTTTGCGACCAAAGTTTTGAATGTAGGCTCCCTTATATTCATCCAAGAGAAAACGATTAGATTAGCATAAGAACACAATCCAAGAACCGTTTGTTTTCCATCCTGTCTCTTTCATTCATTGGAAAACATAACAATCAATACCTACCTGCGCCTTGTTGTTGACATCGGAATGACGTAGATTGGCGGTATGAATGACTACTCGCAGCAGACCCGACGAAAACCCCACCAAGAAAAACTTGGAGTGGTGCACTCCGTAGGGTATTTTGTGGGCGAGTGGATTGGTGGCCGTGGCCGGTGGATCGGCCGGATTGCGACAGACAAAATCGACACTACAGGATCCATCGGCACTGGTGGATGCTTGTCGCCAGGCATTTTCGGATCCCTCCTTGGCCCCGTAGACGACACAGGCTCGTGGCAGTGACAAGAGTTCGGGTACTTCATCCAGCAAGAACTCGAAATTGACAATGTAGTTGGAAATAAAGATAAAGTCAATGGGTCCCATCGACATGGAATCGTCGCTGTAGTCGCCCATGCCTATAAAGGCAGTACAAAAAAGGAGCAGAGTGTGAGAAACAAGTGAGGAGAAGAAAGAGGAATACAGCTCGTAGCATCAACTAGAAGAGTAGCAACAATAGAAGCGCATACCTAACATTTCTCGCAAGGTCAAGCATTGTGTTCGACACCAGTCATCTCGAGAGGCCCCTCTTCGTGCCTGAACATCTGTGCTGGTGGCAAATAGAAACACGGGTGCCGGCTGAGGCGGCAACGGGACTTTTTGCCGTTTTGCCGTATCCTCCTCGGTGTCTTCTGGGGCCGGGCGTTTGGCTCTCCCCTCCATATTATCGTTGGTAGAGGAAGACTCGGACGAAGCAGCAGCCGCCGCCGCTGCGGAAGCTGTCGCATCAGCCTCAGAGCTCATTCCAATACTATCTGTCTAGAAGTCGGAACACTTGACTGAATGCTACCCACTGTCAAGCTAAACTTAGCTTCCTGTCCTATTGCTTGCCGCACAGTATACGATACCCTTACACTCAATCACCCCGCAAGACGAAACGAGCATCAACCCAAAAGATAAGATAATGTGTGACCTGAAGGTGTCACTGGACATCCACAAACCGGAAACCAAAAAATCCTTCCAATTTCTGTTTTCCTCCAAACTCTGTACAGGCAGCTTGGGTTTTAAAGATTCAAACGCGTGCCAGGTTTTCTCTAACACTTCTAGGAGAGCTCGAGTAGATGTGTACCATGAAGGTCGGCACGCGTTTGCATCAATAAAATCGAAGCTGCTCGTAGTCATAGGACCCACATCGGTTCAGAGGTGCGTGACGGGGACATTAGCTGGCTGGCTCGCAAAGTTGGTAACCACAATAATATTGCTATATAAAACTCGAAACTTTCCGAGGCTCAAATCGCGACAATGAGCCGCTACAGCTCAGCCAAGGTCCTTCCCCGACTGTTAGATTTCACTAGAAGCACTATGGAGACCAGCTGGTAAGTGGACGCGGTGAGAATGATTGATTTGGTAAGCTCAGACTACTGCAAAGCTGAGAAATCGACCCAAAATTGTAGGAGCCACGGAACGATTGGCTTTTCCCCCTCTGGAACATATCCAATGGTAGTGCTGGCGGTTCTGTTCGCAACAGAGTGACGAAGAAACAGAGGTTCATCATCGCCATTGGCAGCGGACGGCACCATCCAAAAAACAAGACGACAAAGATTCCTCAGCAGCTGAGGACTTTTGCCAGCTCACAGGGCGCAAGAAGCGCAGTTGAAGCACCTTCTACAGCACCTTCTACCGGTAGCTCATAGTAGCAGTAGAGCACGTAATAATGTGCCTATTATCTTCCGGTTCTCCTTCAAAAGATGGTCAAAAGACAGTTCTCTCCATTGCCGGTCTATTTATTTTTCGGCATGTTTTTGTTGTTCTTCGAGCGGGCCGGGCACAATTTCATTCGTCGATAGTGAAATCCTTGATTTATGCCGGCTGGCGCTTATTGTACCTCGTGAACCGATGCGGACCCTTGTGGGTTCATTACTAGTGAATGGATATTAGTCTTGTGTCGGTCATGAGCTCTAAAGAATTCTTTTAACTATTTTTAAACGGATAGAGCGGGGTGAATCTTTTCACTTTATCTAGGAACTTCCAAGAACAATTCTGATTCCACTCCTTAGCAATGTGCTGCTGGTGGCAATGACAATGACGCCGCTGTGGGTTTGGATGTGACACCAACAAAAGGAACATTTCTTTCAAGGGACCACAAAATACAATGTCAGCTCAGGAATCTCTTCAATTATTACTTGGAATACATTGGACTTCCAGGCTTCTGCCTCGAAATTATGCAAGGGAAAATGTTCAGTGGTTGCCAAGTACTTGCAAGGGTTTCTTGATAGGCTTCAAGATTCTCTGAAGTTGACCCATATCGTCATCACATCTCTTACTGGCAAGGGTGGAGTTCCTGCTTCAAATGATGATACTGAGGTCTCAAAGTGGTGGATGCTCTTTTGGGGGAGACAGCCTGAATACTGGATTAATTTGAAGAAAGGCAATGACGAGACATACACTGATGGGACTCTTGTGCGGTGCATGGGAGCAGTTTGGGTTCAGATTAAAAACAGGTTGATGTTGTCTCGATTCTTTCCTGTTATTGAAAGGATGTACAAGCCAGCAATGAAGAATTTACGAAAGTTGCTTAAAGAACGTCAGAAGCTGGGACCTGTGTTGGCTAAGAACAAGGTATACGTCAGCGTGAAATCAAGTTCATCCTTCATCGAAGTCTTTGGTTCAATACAGAAAGGTTTCTGGATTTCTTTGTCTTTCAGACTGCAACACTCAACCTGAGCAGCAGTGCTTCTGAGACTGCTATGTTGTCTGTTGAAAACATATCTGTAAGAGAGGTGCGGTCTGATATTATTTATGATGTGCTTTAATGCTTCTTGGTGAGGGACAAGATGAGGGTTGGCAACCATCACCCTATTGTTCCCTACCGGCAAGAGTTGTTTGGGGATTTCACCGTGGCCATTGGCTTGGCTTTGTTTGTCAGATCGGGGCGTTACCTTATGCCTTCTTTTGCACACTACTGTTCAAGTAGTGATGAGTCTGCCATTCCACAGCTGTACAGGAATGCTATTGATGTGCTGTGGAGTAGGTATCCTCCAGCGGATGGGGAGGTTGTTCGCAAGGGTACTTCCCTCTTTGGAAAGCATACGGCTCAGTACAATCTTGATGGCTACAAGTTGCATATTGCAGCAAAGCTCTATGCAGGCCACAAGCCAGGAGAGGGGGCCCGCAATGGGTATTTTTCTAATCCTTCCCTTATCTGTTTAATGGTGCAAAGGCTTTGGGAGGGTAGGGGAAGCAGATCAATGGAGATTATCAGAATGTTGTGGTGCCTTCTTTTGGTGACATGGATGAAGAGAGTCAGAAGCAGGCAGACAATGTCTGCTTTGCACTCTTTGATCACATTCCGGAGGCGTTGCTTGATATCCAGGCAAAGCAAATGATTTTTGTTTGTTTGCTTTCTAAGTGGGATCTGTTGGTTCAGGAGATCTTAGCTGAGCCTAATGGCATGTTCCAGGATCCTGCTAATCACATTGTCATGAGGACTCTCAGCAATCGCCTACAAGTGAATGGAGTTGACATTCTTGCTTTCAAGAAGATCAAGGATTGGTGTAGAGATCATCTTTCTACAATCAACGTGCTGAAGGGTGTGCCTGCTCCTGTTGCATCAATGGAAAGGCCTGTTCCACAGGTCGCTGTAAACCATGAGTATTCTACTACTGTCTTCCAGGAAAGCATGGGGATTCATCCTTTGAAGAGTTTGCTTGATCTGGTGACACGAAATACAAGTCCTGAGGTAGTGCTGGTGAACTATTTTGCCTGTGGCTTCATGCGTTCCTTTCTCTCTACACAGAAGGTTGATAACCGTTGCTGCTGCAAGTATCGGAAGATTAAGGTGGCTGTACGTGTTATGGTGCGGTTCTTGGACAAATATCCTAGTGCACTACGCTAAAAGCTAGTGTAAAGATCTTTCGAGTGTTTTGAGAAAGAAAGTATAGAGAGATAAAAGGCAAGAAAATAATTCAACGAAGAGAGATCATCAAACAAGGATCGTAGATGCTGCTCCCGGCGGAGACATAAAAGGGAATAGAGTAGGTGGCGTAAGAACCTACGCCTCCACGATCCTAAAGACGAACGCGGAAGTTTGTCTAGCCCTGGATCTAGTAGCGTGGAAGTTTTCCACGCCGGCTAAATATGTAGAGCTATGTTTCATCAGCAACCTAGTATGACCAGCGCGGTCAATGAGAACCCTGCTCAAATGACTATTCACGAGAGACTAGGTCATGAGTCGAAATCAAAACCTATCTAGGATCGATTCGCAAATAAGGAAAAGCCAGTGTATGCAATTCGCCCCTGACAAGGTCACAGAAGGCGCAACAGAGTCCGACAAGGAGAACAAATGAATAAAAGTGCGGGGCACTATCATGAGATTTGGATGTAAACATGTTCGTCGCACGATAGCAATCCCACAAGGGACCAGCCTTGTATGGTATAACCATTATGTCCAAGCGAAGAACTGTGCCCGCGTTGGCGGTAGCATGTTGAGCCGTACAGTGCCATTTGTCATGACCGGTCTATAGTTAAGGACCTTTTGTACTTTGGCTGACCGTACCTGCGGTGCTGATACTGTTGGATCATCACGGTTTCGTTGACGTTGTATTGAAGAGGGACACGCGTCGCGTACCATCGCGGTCGTTTTCTGGATAAGTCGCGGCATTCCTGAGATTCCAGTTGCTTCGGAAAACGGGTGTTTGAATCTGGTCCACATGACCGCGCGTGACCTGCGAGAAAAGAAAAAAGAAAATAGAAATAAGCGAAGTCCATGCATTGGAGAGTCCTCGACCTCTGCGCCCGGAACTCACGTCGCGCATGACAACTGCGTCATGATTACGGGAACCCATTGTCGTAGAACGGATGGGTACTCGTCCTGCTTGGAGCAGACTTGTAGTCATGGCCAAGAATCCACGAGAGTTCCGCGGTCGAGATGAGCGATAGCTTGATCGCATTTATTGTCCTTTAGTTAAGGTGTGGATTCCTTCTCGAGTATTCCAATCAAATACCAATCTCCTCGAGGAAGCCTGAATGTTGATCCCTCAAATCCGACCGGGAGTCGTGGAAAAATCATCTAACATCAACACTGATCTACCAGAATCGGCGTTAGTTTAGGAATGAGGATCATCGATGTATCACGGACAGTTCCTAATCGATGCATCGTGTCTTTTGAAGATTCGGGGACTATACAAGGCCCATGGCAACCCTTGGTATTCGATACTCCCCACGGAGTCGATGGTCAGACTGAATTCGAGTGGTTGACAAGCTCGATGGATAGTAACCACTTCAGTCTAGACTGGTAGCGACTTGAATCCAGTCTAGTATTCAAGAGCCATGTCCTGTATTTTTGGGAGTGGATAAGGCTTCCGCTTTAATCCTTTTGTTCAATTTCCAGAAATCAGAGATGAATCATAGTAGATCCATACTTCTTGGGAATGAAAAAAGGTGGTCCGTCCACTCGGAACGGTATACTTTAAGTAACTGCTGGCAAGACGTTCAACCACGTCTTGAAGTGTTGGTATGAGACACGTGAGTAGGTTGACCCTAGTATATATAGGAATTTAGCGTCGGGACAATCTACTTCTAGTCTGCCATTTCAACTCCCAAAGACCTTCGACTGGGCCGGAGCACGGTTGAAAAGCATTGAGCAGTCTTGGCTCCCTTATAACTGGTCGACTCTGGCACTCTCTGCCTTAAGTCAGTTTTTTCGTATGTCGCATCAAGAAATCTTTTGAGACTATCTGCAACTGTCGCTGACAGCTGCAGATCGGAATTGAGAAGTTCTCCTTTCATCGGTATCGGCCACTTCCACAGAAAAATAGCTGTTCCACCCATGACAATGGTAGATGAAATCAAACTGATCTAGGCGAGAGAGTTTTGACCTGTGATCGTTGTCATGCGCCCCCGAGTTCTGGGTGACGTTTAAAATCCATTCGAATTAACTATATCGTGGAACCAGAATCACTAGTTGCCCTACACTCGTGCTGGGGTTCAATCCTTATACAGAAGCAGTCCGGATACTGTGACGCCCCCAGTATCTCTGAAAACCCTAGCCTGAAGTTTGAGAATAAAAGTCCGGAGCTCCTAATCCAGTAACAACGAGTGTAACGGGTTTGTGTCCCTTTCTCTCGTCTGTTAAATCTAACATAGACGATAGTTTCGAGGTCTCTTGTCTTGCGACGTTGATGAGTTGATTGGCCATGGACGAAGTTTAACGATGCTACAGATCGTCAAGGCAGTGAGTAGTTCAGCCAACTAAATTTGCCGTAGACTTCATGTGCAAACAAATCTTGTTTACAATGAGAGATCTTCATCACTTGGTATGAAAATCGAACATGTCCGTTGAATCATCATCCGGCCTAATCCTCAGACGGAGATCTCTCCATCCGAATGATTGAAGTCGAATTCGGCAAGCGCCTTGTCAACGGCAGCATTTTCTTTTCCATCATGTTGATGGATCCAACAGAGGAGTCGTCCTCGGCATCAGAGTCAACACTTCGCTTTGCAACATGGCTTCCGCTTTTCTTCTGTCGATCAGCCTTGACAGCAGCGTGAAAACTTTTCAATGAGACAGAGAGTTCCTTCTTGGTGAGACTTGGCGTCGTCGACTCTTCTTCCAAGTCTGTTCTTGTACGCTGCTTGTTATCGGTGTCAGATGAGGACTGAGACTTGGCTGAGCTTCTTCAGAGTCAGCAGTCAGCAGGTTGTGATGCGGACTCGTGGACTCCACTTTTCTTCGTTAAGAGTGGGTGTTGCGAGTAGACTTGTACTTCTTGCTTTGTTCTTCAAGAGGCTTGCACACCGCCCTTCAAGCTACGGAGGATCATGCGTTCGCAGAACCAATGTTCTCCCATAGGAGCTGAGAAAGGATCGAAGTCGTGTTCGTCCATCGCTCATCCACGAGCGAGGAATTCCATGAAAACAATGTCAATGATTGTCATGGTTAAACGTTTGGTGGGTCCAAAAGGTGGTAGACGAGGAAGTTCATCGCGTTAATCCGACTGAGGTTGTTGACATAAGCCCAGTAGACATATCAGCAGGCTTAGCATCTTGCGGCGCATGAGCGTTTCTGCTTTTCAAGCCTTGTAGGGACAGACGGCTTCGACACAGGCATTTAGCCAAACGTAATGTCAGTGCGTCCAAAGCAGGCTAGCTGCTCCGTCCCAGGCCTGGAAACGTGCTTGGAAAGTGGCTTCGTCTTCCGGCCACGTACGTCGCGTGGACAATCGCGTTGACTGCAATCTGCGCAAGCATTCCAACGTTTTTCACGATGGCCTGCACAGTTAGATTTCGTAACTGCTCTTGGCGAGACTAGAATCATCTCCTTAGAGGTTATGTTTGTCGTTGGCGTAGCAATGGCGAGCCCGACGAAGACCTTCTCCATACGTCCACCCACTTGATGGTTGACGTGAGAGTCCAGATCCATTGATGATTTGGACCTTGAAGGTGTACTTGCCTGTTAGCATCTGCTGAACAGTGCGAATTTTGTAGGTGTGTAGAGCGAGAATGTCGATTTCGCATTCATCATCGAGTCGATGAGAGGAAGGATGGTTTGTCCGCAGCTTAACTCGAAGCTGTGTAGCTGTCTTTGGCAATCTTCATTGTGAGGAATAGGTTGAGGTAGCTGAAACTATTGTGTTTGTTAACAAAATGCACTACGCTAAAAGCTAGTGTAAAGATCTTTCGAGTGTTTTGAGTTTGAGAGAATGAAAGTTATGAGAGATATAGAAAGCTATAAAACTAATCAACGAGAGAGATCATCATCAAGGGATCGTAGATCTGGCTTCCGCGGAGACTATAAAGTGTGATAGAGTAGGTTGCGGTAGTAATCCACGTTCTCCACGATCCTAAAAACGCTTAAGTGCTAGCTGATCTAGCGGGAAGTACTCCACGTTAGGCTAAATATCTAGTACGATGTCATATCAACCTAGTAGACTCAAGCGTTCATTGAAACCTGTCCAGGTATGACCAGCGCGGTCATTGAGAACCCTGTCTCAAATGACTATTCACGAGAGACTCAGTCATGAGTCGAACTCAAACCCTATCTAGGATCGAGTCGCGAATAAGGCTAAGAGCCGTGTATTGCACTAGCGAGAAACCTAGTCAGAATGAATTAGACGCCATGACAAGGAGGATCAAGGAAGCTTTGTTACTTGTTGGATCTGATGTTGTCATGATGGGCAAGAAACCATTTGGTGTGGCAACCCCTCTTACTTTGACTATTATTAGGGACAACGAGAAGATTCTGACTGACAAGATGAAGCCTTGGTATCGTCCTCTACCGAAGGATACCGCTTACTCTTTTATTGAGCATGTCTAGGGACATAAGATCTATGATATCTAGATAAAGATTAGGAATTAGCCTAGTCACATGGTTAAGGTTCTACTACTGCTGTGATATTAGGAAGTGATAGACCCAAGCGGTCGCACAGCCGCGTTCTCGAGTTCTTGAGGTTTTTTGTCTGGATTAGATCACAGCCTGACATGCCTATTAGCATGCATCCTTCTATGCTTACAGGTTGGTCAAGTTGGTTCATGTTATCGTCAAAATAATTTACAGTATACATTGGAAACCAGGATTTGACGTTAATTTCTTCGTCGGGGTGGATCAGGCAACAGAGGTGTATTAGATTTCGGGAGTGGTTGAAGGTGATGAAGGCTTCAGTTACAAATTCGCATTTCATAAAATCTACAAATGCCATATAGTCTGGTAACGTGGTGCTAAAACTGGTGATAATACACATTTTATTTAATAATTAATGACAATGGCTGAGCAGAACAATTATTCAATTGCCGATGGCATTCCTATGTCCTTTAGACAGATGCAGGAGTATCTACAAGATTATTTGGGTATTCCGGTTGTAGTGAGGAGGTGTGGTACTACGGAAATTGAATGTCCTTACTGTGGTAAGATGCATATCCATGGTCCACAGCCCGGGCATCAGGTAGCTGGGTGTAAAGATGAAGACTGACAGACTGCAAGTTTAGTTATAGGGAATAGGTCCTTTGTCCCCAATTATGGTTACGTCATCTATGAATACAAGGAGAAGGATGGGGTTAATGAGATAATTAGCAGTTAATTATATTGTTTAGATTCTCTAAGTTTCTTGCGCTTATCAGAATCTAAGTCATAGACACTTTGCTGTGAGAATGACATTCGGTTGTCACCTACTTTGCGAGGTGTGTCTGATGAGGGAACTTTGGATATAGGCATTATGACTTAACTTTATTGGGGTTTGGAATTATATGTGACTGTTTTTATGGTTGGGGGTTGACATTCTCATCTTCTTGTTTGTCTTCATTTTTGCTTTCAGAAGGATCTCCTTTGTGTTCATCTTTGTCTTCAGGCGGATCTGGTGGCGAGTTTTGACTGCGCACTTTACGCCAAGACTCCAAGCCAGGGTTAGGTTTAGAGATGGTATGGCGAGGACGAGGTTTCATTGGAACTGTTCCGAAGATGTGGTTGGCTTTTTCTATTAATATCGATGTTGGGTTGGGTTCTTTAAACATGTAGGGAGTTGTCATGTGTACTGCTTTGAATCGACGCTTGATTGCATTGGCCATGACAGGATCATCTTTCCAAAGATAATCAATTGAATAATTGCTTGTGATGATAAATGTTGTATGGATGAGTTTGACAACACCACCGTTGATTTCACCAGTACATGCATACTTGTCAGCCCAGATCTTTATGTATTGACCTTGTATGTTGCTATCAAGGTCATCCAAAAGGACATGGGATTCACCGGCGTAACCATCCCACCATTTGTTTTGAGATTTAATGTATAGTGATTCAGATGAGCACAGGCCGTATGGGACTTACCTGTCCCTGGAGGTCCCCAGTAGTAGATTCCATGGAGAGTTTCATGTTGATATGTGGTTGTCTGTAGGGCTTGATAGGCGGCAAGACCGCGGTAGTTGCGGACATATGAGGCAGGATGGATCTGAGCTACTTCTGACATGGACTTGCCTGCTTGGATTGCATCACAGAGATCGTCTAGATCTGTGCGTTTTCTGGGGGTTGGGACCTCACCAAATTCTTCACCTTGAAAGTTGAGGCCAAAGTTGGAACCATTTTCTTTGGATAGTTCCCATTCTTCTTTGGTTTGTTGGCCTTTCTTACAGTAATTGGCTGCTTGTGTGGATGTGCCATTGGCAGGTTGAAGGGCTATCTTTGAGGATCCAAGGGCTTTGTGCACACCTGTCATCAAATACCTACTCCTCTTGGGAGAAGCGAGCTGCGTGTTTTCGCTCTTGTTCGGCTACTTCTTCCTTTGTGGCACGGAACGCAGTTTCATCGAATTCCTCTACTGGAAATCCAGGTTCAAAGCAGATTTCAAGGGAGACTTTGTCGCCTTGGCTTGGCTTGTCCTTCCACTCCATAACAACGTCCACCCTATTTTTCTCCCCGTTATAAAAGATGTTTAGAGCAATGTCATCTTCATTGCAGCCAAACCAGGAAGAGGCAAAACTGAGAAAGGGGAGGAACTCAGCAGCAGCATCCTTAGTAAGTGACACATAGCCACCAACTCCGGTCGGATGGGCTAGTAGAGGTTGACGATAATTCTGAGACGCCTTGGCTGCTCGGCCAAATAAAGATTCAACCTACCTTTTAATTCTTCATGGCATAAGGGGAACGAATAATTAAAATCGGCCCCCTTCTCCTTTTACCTATACTAAAATAGTTAGAGCTGAAAAGTGGTAGCCGGCAGTAACGTGATTGGCTATTCAAGCTAATACATCAGCAAATACGTCAGCAAAGATTCAAATATACTTAACGTACCATTTATAGATATTACGGATACAATGTGCTATCAAGTTCAAAATTTCGTTGTTGTTTTCGGAGAAGAAGAAGATTCCGTGGATCGATCGATCGACGACCATGACAACAACCAACGGAGAACAACAGAGCCACTCGGCAGTCATCCAGAGCACTCGACAGCCACTCGACAGTCATTAAGCAGCAGAAGAGAGCATCATGGAGCCACCAACAGCAGCAGCGGCAACAACACAAAATGAAGGTATGGGCTGCCAAAGTCAGAATAGAAATTCCCAGCAGAAGAGAGCATATCAACTCGCCTCCAACAACAACAACAACAAAAGATTGAAGAGAGCAAGAGAAGAAGGAGCCCAAACAACAATGGAAGGAGAGGTAGCAGAAGTGTTTGACCCAATAAAGCACTGCAAAATCTGCAAGGCTAGACACTTGGGCCTGCGTGTTCCAAAGAGAGCACACCACGTTCTCTGTATTAAGAATACAGTAACAAGAGGAAGAGGACATTTGAATTCTCTTGAATAGGGGCAACATTGTTGAACAAAAGCTGACAGGCTTCAGTGTCATGGTCGCTCCGTGGAAACTGTTGTTGATGATGAGTACTTCACCATAATGCTAGCTGTATGTTGTTGCCAAGAGCCTTGCCCCTATCAAAGTAGGCACTGACTTCAAGACAAAATAGCGCAGCAATCAAGGGAGTAGTAGTAGTAGTAGTAGTAGTTGTAGTAGTAGTAGTGTTGTCTTTTGTTGTCATTTGTTGTTGTTGTTGTCCATCGACCGAATCGATTTGTTGTTGTTGTTGTGGATCGATCGCTCCGTGGAAGAGAAGGCGTCATGGTGGTGGAGTGGTGGTGGAGAGCCTCTCATGGTGGTGGAATAGAGGAGTAGCCGCTGTAAAGAGGAGGAAATAACATCGTCTTGCTAGAGTAACAAAGATAGAGAGTATCAAAATAATGAATATTGACTAGTGTTATTCGAGGAGGAGGAGTTCCTTGGTTCACCACGACCGAAGCGTTGGATCCCTCTCTACAAGTGCGACAGGCGTCGATCGATCCGTATCAAGCCTCACTCAATCCGACCGTCTCCGGTTCAGAGCAGAAAGCCATCCTCATTGAAATCACACCAGCTTGGGAAGGTTTTCTTTTCTCGGCCGCTGACAGTCAAGTTGGAGTGGGAGGGTTTGGTTCGAGCGAAGGAAAGGGAAAAGAGAGAAAAGAGCAAAGCCGTTGAATGGATTCAAAATATGGAAGCAATGTGAGACCAAGGAGAGATGATGCTGTTGTGACGTATTTGCTGACATATTCCTTGTTCTTCAGACATGATTTCAATGGGGCGATGACTGGTCATTGCCATTTCCTCTCTTTTCTATATGTGAAGAGTGTCACGATTGCTTCTTTTATGACCTGACACGCAAGGGATGCTTCTTCATGACCTGACACGCATGCCGACATTCGGAATCTGGAATGTAACCCTCACCCTTTTTTCTCTTTTTTCTTTTTTTCCTCCCCCGCGTTGGTGCCTAACCCCCCTAAATCTCAACAGTAACGGGGGACCGAAGTGAGGTAATAATGGTTGGCCTCACCTCGGTCCCCCATTAAGGATATGGTTATACGGTATGGTGTTTACCGGTGACATTCAGTTGACGTCAGTACAGTCGTACCGGTTGCTGATTGGTCTTGGTTTTTGTGTTTAATGGTGAAAGTGTAGTGTAACCGGTGGGAGTCGACGTGACCTATGAGTTTCGTCGTTTGCTGAGGAGTGGGATGTGCTGTTCCAAACAGTGCTTCAACTGGTAAAATGCGATTATTTAGGATTTTCCCTAGGGACCGTTAATGGGTAACAACTGTAGAATAGATTTGAAATTTTGGCTCGGTTGGAGAAAAGTGGTCCTATGTCATATGCCAAATATTCCTCTTGACAGGAGGTGTTTGTGCATACACAGAACGTTGAAAGGTTCATTATTGGTAGACTGTGCCGCCATTGGCGGTAGCATGTCGGAGCCGTACAGTGCCATTGTCATTGACTCGGTCTATGTTGTAAGGACCTTTGTACTTTGGCTGACCGTACTTGCGGTGCTGATACTGTTGAATCATCACAGTATCGTTGACATTGTATTGATGAGGGACACGCGTCGCGTTCTCCCTATCATTGTTTTTCTGGATAAGTCGTTGGCGACGTTCCTTGATGTATTTCCAGTTTGCTTCAAAACGGACGTTGTGAATCGCGTCACGATTGAACACGAGCTGTGCAGGCGTTGCACGCAAGGTGGTATGAATCGTGGCATTCATTGCGAACCGAACCGCCGTGAGGACTCCATCCCAGGATCCATTCACGAGGTCGTCTTGACACTTGATATTTTGAACAGCTATCAAGTTACGAATGGTCTGATGAGCACACTCGACCATCGAGTTGGCTTGAGGGTTACGTGTGGTAATGAACTTGCGACGAAGTCCATATTCATCCCGGAGAGTCTTCTCGACTTCTGCGCGGAACTCACGTCCTCTATCCATGATAACCTCAGGAGGCCATGGATACCGAGTAAGCCACGTCTGTTCTAGAACGATGGCTACGTCGTCTGCTGCTTTGGAGCAGATCTCAGCAATCTCGAACCATCCGGTTACGGGATCGATCATTGTCAGGCAATGAAGTGTACAGGAATTCTTTTTCTTAGAATCCCCGACGTTGTATGGACCTATCAGGTCAATACATAGTCTTTCCCAAGGGATCTCCTCGCAAGTCTTTGGAGGAAGCAATCCCAGCTTACGCATTTTGGGTTTGTTCAGTTGGCAGCTTTGACAACGCTGACATACGGACTGCACAGTCTTGCGCAACCCTTTCCAGGTGTAGTGTTGACTGATGGTAAGTTCTGTGCGAGTCTCGCCAGGATGCATCAGTACACCATGATACCATTTGACCAGCTTCTTCTGCATGGCCTTAGGCACAACAATCTTGCCATCCTTGACTACTAGTTCATAGGACTTATCCCCTCTGGGAAAAGATTGTTTCTTGTATTCGTTTGGCTTGTCCCTGAGGAGTTTCTTTATATCGTTATCGCCCTTCTGGCGATGTTCGATCTCGGGGAACGAGAGAGGGAAGTCACTAGGGAAGTCCTCTTCATCTGCGGCCATGAGCTCAGCAATCTCGCTGGCTTCCATTTGTCCTGAAGAACCATCGTTGTCCGAGATGTTAAGTCTCGACAACGCATCAGCGACGATGTTGTGTTCGCCCTTGATGTACCGAAGTTCGGGGCCATATTCTTCCAGAATAAGGCTCCATCGCATAACGCGATCGGTATTGAAATTCTTGCAGGTGAGATTCTTGTGGTCCGTATGTACTACAATCTTCTGCCCGAGAAGAATGTTACGGAACTCCTTGAGAGTCTCAACGATACTGAGAAGTTCCTTCTCAGTTACCATATAGCGTGTTTGAGCGGGATTGAGTTTCCTGCTGTAGAACGCGATAGGCTTTCCCTTCACTGCACCCAGTTGCGTATCACTTGCATCCGTGTGGATAACGAATGTATCGTTGAAGTCAGGGTAAGCGAGCAAGGTTTCTTTGCTGATGATCTTCTTCATCTGGCTAAAGGCCTTGTCGTGTTCCGCTTCCCATTTCCACTTCTTAGTTCTGGAAGTAAGTGTAGCGAGTGGTGCTAGTACATGTGATCGTCTGATCCACATGTCTCGATAGTAGTTCACTAGTCAATGAATCTACGAAGTTCCTTCCTTTCGTAGGAGGAGCGATATTCTGATCGCATCTATTTTTCTTGGTTACGGTTGGATTCCCTTCTCGAGTAATCCAATAGCCTAAATACTCAAGTTCTCCTTTGCGAAGAAGGACTTGGTACATTGATCTTAAGTCCGGCTTCTCGAAGCCTTCGGAGAACTTCATCTAACTTTTCACCGT